CTCACCACTGGGCCAACTGGCAGAATCATGATAGATGGAGAAGAGATTGAGGTTGTTAACAGTGACAGCTTGCTCGGCTCCACAATCGACACTCTTGGCACCAGCAGTCAGGAAATCAAAAGACGATTTGCATTGGAAAAATCTGCTGTCAGGAACCTCTCCAGAATACTGAAAAACAATGCTGTCAGCCTAGAGACTAAGGTACGTCTACTCCAGTCCATGGTCTTCACAATCACTTGCTATGCATCAGAGGACAATGAGTAAGGATGACAGAAGAATAGACTCCTTTTGAGTTGTGGTGCTGGAGAAGAGTCGAGCATGCCATGGACTGCCAAGAAAGCAAATAGGTCTATCTTGGAGAGGGTGAAATCAAGTTTCTCCTTGGAGGCTAAGATTTTGAAGCTCTGTCTCACATACTTTAGGCATGTGGCCAGGAGAGACCAGACCTTTGAGAAGGATATCATGCTGAGAAGGGTTGAGGGAAGCACAGGAGAGGAAGACCCCAGATGAGATGAGATGAGATTAGATGAGATGAGATGGAGTGATACAGTAACTGGAGCAACGTGGGTTGGTATGTCAGAACTAGTGATACTGGCTCAGGATAGGGCAGGGTTCAGAGCTGCTGTACACTGTAGGTAGATGGCACATAACAACAACAACCCTTTCCTAAAATGAATGGGCCTGGGAAAGGCTCTGTGTCCCAACTCACTCCAGTTTACAAAAGAAAGGCACCACGTTGTATTGTAAGGGGCCACAAGTTAAGTCTTGAGGTCAAACCAAACAAGATGTCAACCTCATTTAGTTAACTATATTAAGACACCAAACTCAACCATGAACTGAGAAAAGCTTATTTTACACACTTTTCTGTTCTGGGTGAAGCCTGGTGACAGAAATTAAACATGGTTGAGAATATCGCAGACTCTTTAACAACTTTGGCTCTTCTTTCTCCCAGTTAAGATCAGAAAATACATGGACTTCAAGGGATAAGGCCGAAGGATTCAAAGCAAAAGCAACAACTGGGAAGAAATAAAGAATGTTAAAAATGGAGGTTTTTATGTTGTTAAGAGTAAGCATTTTTTTTACTATTTTCAACACTCACATTAAATCCTAAAAAAAGGCTTTCTTTCCTCTTGTAAAGTGTAAGCATTTTCCCCCCAGCTGTTCACTTCAAAAAGCCCAATCTTGTATAGGTTGGTACAGCTGCTTCTTAAACATGTATATGAATGAAACAATGTCTATGAATGATTGTATGAAAGTGAATAATGGTATAAAGTTAAAAATGTAACAAGAATACTTTTATGTAACAAGCATTTTCAAGATACACTAAAAAAAAATATGGATAAAAGATTTCCATGCTTCCTCCCTCTCAGGATTCATATGCATTGTTTAGAAAAAGAAATACTAAACCTTACTTTTCAAACTCGCATCATAAAAATATTGATTCCATTTACCGACAGTCCTCATCCCATTTCACCTTCTAAAATTCTACTTCCTCCTAACAAAATTAAACTTACATACTGACTAGTTGATGATTACTTATTTAACAGTCTATGCCCTTTTCTATCATCACAGAGACAGGAAAAATCTGTGATATGTAGTTAAGGAAATTGGTATCTCTGATTTTTATACTTGAATTCATTTAATTTTGCCCAAAGATCAAACACTAGCATTTGGTACACACAATCCAATATTTAGAGAAGGAATGTGCTATTGAGTCAGAACCCACCCATAGCTGACCCTCAAAGCAAATTTTCAGAGGCAGTACCGGAGGAGATTGCCATCTTCCTCCCGCAGAGCAGCTGGTGGATTTGAACCATGTGTCTTTAGAATTGCTGTGCAGTTTCTTACCACCATGCAACCGGAGCTCCCTAGAGATGGTATAGCATGCCTTTTTATTATACTCTTCTCTGTCAAAATATATCACAGTTTTATATATTATACTGTATAATATAGATATATTATACAATATCTATAAATATATTGTATAACATAAATGAAACAATGTTTATTGTTTTATAACTTATCATGTTAATGTCTACATATTTTTCTCTTGATTAATATAATGCATTCTATAATGTATTTCTCAGGGGCTTTGATAAAATTTCTTGAAATACATTAATATAATTATTTCAATTGGAAAGTGAAGTCATACTTTTTCTAGGTTCCTAATGGGTTTAACAATAACTGGTTTTGCCAATTAGGTTAGATAGCATTTTCTGTAAATTTAATAAGCTGAAATTGCAACCCCACAGCTTTTTCAAAAATGGTTAAAGCACATGATTAAAGCACTTTTAAAAAATCTTACTGTATTAGTAATGGTGTAATAAAATTACCAATATTTCCATTGCCCAACCCTTTTTAAGTATCTCTCTTTAAATCAGTTATTTTCAAGTATAAACGTGATAGTTATAATTCGAAGTCAGCTAGTAAGACTGGCTTTCTTTTTTATATTTATGCTTTTATTTAGTTTAGCTTTTCATTATGATTTGAGTGGAAGTTTACAGATCAAATAGGCCTTCCATTCAACAATTCATGCATATCCTATTTGGTGACACTGACTGCCATCCCCATAATGTAACAGCACTCTTCTTGCTTTCTCCCTGTGTTTCCCACTTTTGCGAATCCTATTTTCCTCCTTATTCCGGCTTTGAGAGCTTTATCCCTGGGTAAATGCTGCCCTTTTGATGTCATATGATTGATTATTCTAGAATGCTCATACTTCCATTATTGTCCACCTTACATAGGCCTGTCTATTCTTTGGCTTGAAAGCTGAGCCACAGGGGTAAGTTCAAGTCCAAGCTTGAAAAGTTATCTAATAAATCTTTGTAAAGCCTTTTCTGTTACACTTGACCAAAAACCAAACAAAAAAAGTAAATGACTGTGATGGTAACAAATCTTTTTGTGGGTTAAATAGTTTCCAGCCCACGGCTTCCAACAAATGTGAAGCAGGATCTTAAATTGTTACTTGATAGATGATTAAAAATTATTTTTATAGCAATCATCATAGAATTTCTTTTTGGGGGAAAACAAAACCAACTCAAAGTTAATTCCTGCCTTTGGATGGACCAGCATTGTTTCTAGCATTTGAGAGTTAGGGAATGTGGTCCTCTTAAGCATGGTTGCAAAGATATTTCTTTCTCAAGTTTTTCTCCTTCTCTTCTTTAATTCCTGGCTTCAAACTCCTATCCATATTAATTGCTCTGAGTATTTTTCAGCATCTGTGCTTTTATGGGGGTTGGGGGGGAAACATTGTCATCAAGTTGATTCCAACTCATAACAAGCCTCTATTGGGTTTCTGAAGCTATAAATCTTTACAAGAGAACACTGCACATATGTCTTACTTTTCGCAGCTGGTGGATCTGAACTTCTGACATTTTTGATTAGCAGTCCAACATGTTACATCCTATGTCCACAGAGCTGCTTCTTTTATAGAAAATCTACTCAAAAACACATAATTTGGTAATTAAAAGAAAATACCACTGGAACCACTGTGTCTTCTTTGCTTGTCCCCATATTGTTGTTTTGACTGCCCACTGTCTAAGGAAGGGTGCATGCTCTGACTTTTGTGTGTCCTCTCTTCATTTACATCTCTGCACAAATGTCACCTCATCAGAATGGCTTCCTCCCCCGAGGAAAATATAAACATCTAAAACATCTCTGCTTCATCCACTTAGTCACTTCTTCCTCTTACCCCATTTTATATTTCAACATAAGACAACTACTAAGAATTTACAAGTGTATTTGGCATTGCCTGCCTCCTCTATGGAATATAAATTGTATATGTAGTCTGCTGTCCCAGGACCTGGCACATAGTAGGAACCCAGAAAACATCTGAGCTGGAGGAAACAGTCTGAATTAGTGAAGTAATTGTGGCATACTGGACTGGGGAGCAGCTGGCATTCATTTACCGCCTTCATCCACTGATGAGAAGGTAGAAAGCTGAACATGCCCTCTGATCCTACTCTTGAGAGACTAGCAAGGCCCATGCCAGACATTCCTGTCAGTTGCAATCTCCACCTAGCCACCTCTAAACTTGAGCTACCAAAATGACCAAAGCCTACACACTAAAGGCTCATACCAAGATCTGCAATCACAGCAACATTCCTTTTATAACCTTCTTAAAAAATTTATGAACATTAAGTTGGATCATAAACCAAGCCTAAGAAGAAAGGCACTAATAGAAAATAGTTGACCCAAATGCACACCCATGTTTATTGCAGCTTTGTTCTCATAGCTAAGAGCTGGAAACAACCGAAATGCCTATCAACAAACGAATGGATAAAGAAGCTGTGGTATATTCACACAATGGAATACAATGCAGCATTGAAAAACAAGGAACTCATGAAATATTATGCAAAATGGGTGATCCTGGAGGACACTATGCTGAGTGAAATATCTCAGTCACAAAAGGACAAATATTACATAGGCCCACGGTTGTAAAACAGGACTGACATCAGGGTTGAGGGAAGACAGAAGGAGAGGAGGAATGATGTATACTGCATTGAAACAGATGAGGGATAGAATTGTTTAAAAGGGATATATGATTGGGTATTACTGCCATGACAGGAGTCCAGAATTAAGGCTGCACAGTGGAGTAGACTTGGGGGGAGGGATTGCATAACAATGAAAGAGTTTTTTACTTTTCAAGGAGAAGAGTGAATTGAGGGGGTAGGAAGAAAAGTGCAACAGTGAATGAATGGAAACCCTAAGTCTCTGTAAATTTTCATTAAAATCAATAAAAAAAAGAGTTAAGCCTATGATCAACACATTTGAACCCTGCCCCATCCTCATCACCTCTATTCTACCTAAGTCCACTGTTACAGTCACCATGAGTAGTGTGCAATTCCATGAGGTAATTTACCTTTGGATTTATAAAACATCATCGTAAAGGTCTGATGGTGAACAAGTGAGCCAGTATGGGCTAACTTGGAACCATTAACAGCATGAAGTGATAAGATTATAAAGGAGTTTTCCGGAAAAGAAGAAAATGCACAGCTTACCTCCAACTAACAAGTAGCTGTTAGGGAACAGTGTTTTTGCTTGCATAAGTGCCCTTGCATGGCCTGAGTGGAACAGGTCAAATATTCCATCTGCGTACACCCTGACAGGCCTGTCAACTGTGGAAGAAAGAAAACATGCTCAACAAAACAGTCAAATAAGTAATCCCGGTCATCTGATTCTAACATCAGTGCAGCCCTGTAAGAACGTTTACCCACCCTGATCTGCCTCTCCACCCCCGCAAAACAAATTTTAATAATCGTTACCTCTATTGAGAAGCAAAAGGCAAAGCGGTAATATGGTAATATATAGTCTGAGGGAGACGTCTTATGGAGGGGAAAACCCCTTGTTACTCTTTGTAATTCTGTAATGCTTCCATTTGAAGCATTTCTTTGTATTTTAAAAAGGAAGGAGGAGAAGTTTACCTGGAGAGGACACAATCTCCTCAGACCATCAGTTTCATATTAGTGCATGAAGTTGATTTTTTTTTCCTCATCACAGTGCATGGCACAAAATATTAGTTTAGTAAATGACTCTTTTTACAATTAATCAATAACATGAGTGCATAACTTGGCTGTTGTGAGTCCGGCCATGTTTTGTAGTATATTCTTCATACATTATTCACTGGCCACCTGGTTTCAGCTTATAGAGTCTTTCCAACTCAGAGAATAGGAAATATGTAACATAAATACACTGAAAAAACACAGTTCACATAAAGGCTTATTAAAAAAAATCTATTTTTGTATTGCTGTACAAAAAGTAGCAAAATATCAATAACAATTATAATTTAAACACAATTACTTCTAAAATTCATAGACATCCATTTTTTTAAATTATTGACTCATTTCCAACAAGACTTCTCACTTATCTAAGATGCCTTGTATCAGAATTTTGCCATAAGTTTCTATTCCAGCTTTACAATCTGTGAATAGTTGAATTTCACTACTTAAATAGTCTATTTATTACAAATAAAAACTCCAGAAAGATTAGATAACTTTTCCATAAAAATTGTGTGAAAGGAGCAAATCTTCTAACTTAAGTTTAACTTCCCTTTGTAATCTTGTTAAAATATAAGTACTCTAAAATTATTTATGAAGATAAAATAGAAGTACTACAATTTATAAACAGAATTTATAAGTACTCAATTTATAAACAGAAACTAGAAGTACTAAAATTATTTACAAATATAAGTACTCTAAAATTATTTATAAAATATAAGTTGTTGTGTACACTGAGTCAGAACCGACCCATAAAAGCTGACCCTTTCACGGGGTTTTAGAGGCAGTTTTAATCACACAGGAGGAAATTGCTCATCCTTCTCCCACAGAGAAATACTAAAAAATTATTTATCTGTCTCAAATAATGCCCTTTTATTTCTTTTAATATACATTCAGATCAAAACGACTATATGCTTCAGTATGTTCATCAACCCAAACCCACAACCTCTGAGTCTGCACTGAATCCTGGACCCTCCGTGGGGTTTCCTGGGCTACAAACCTTCACAGTTTTGCTATTTCAGAAATAAGACATTTTTTCCAAACAATTACATGAGAAATCACTGTTAATGTATGATTAGCTGCTGCTGCTGCTGTTGTTGTTATGTGCCGTTGAGTCATTTGCAACTCATAGAGACCCTATGTACAACAGCCCTAAACTCTGTTCTGTCCGGTGCCAATCTCATTGTCTCCGACACACTCATCCCGATTACCCCAGACACCGAATCAATCCACCTCCTAGAGGGTCTTCCCCTCCTGCACCTGCCCTCCCAAGCATGATGTCCTTCTCCAAGGACTGGTCTCTCCTTACAACATGACCAAAGTATGTCAGACGAAGCCTCAGAATACTTGCCTCCAAGGAGCAGCCCGGTTTAACCCTCTCGAGGATGAATCTGTTTGTTTTCTTAGTCTATGGTACCCTCAATACTCTTCTCCAGCACCACAGCTCAAAGGCATCAACTCTCCTTCTATCCTCCCTAGTCATTGTTCAACTCTCTGATGCATAACAAGTGATTGCAAAGACCATGGCCTGTATCAGAGGCTACTACTGTTGATTATTTGACTCCATCAGTCGTTTCCTGCCTAATGGACCCCATGGTCTAGATCATCCAGGCCATGTTCACTTGGGCATCATCAAGGTCCTGCTTCAAGATGGAGGATGGCTACAGTTCCTTGTCTTGTCGGCTACCTGCATCTCCATCTTCTCATCTTCCACTACCAGGGACTTCGTCCTGCACATAGGGATTGTCAGTCTATACAGAACCATGTTGTCAAAAAACTCAGTTGATTTTGAATAGTGACTGTCTAACTTTATCTTTTAGGGAGCTCTCGTGTCCTAGAGGCTTCCAGGCCAACAGCCACTCCACGGGAGAAGGATAGGCAGGCTCCTCCCGTGTGATTAACTGCCTCTGAAAACCCACTGGAGGGTCGGCTCATAACAGTAATTTCCTCCTTATGTGCCCATCTATTTAAAAGAGCAATGCAATGCAAAATTGGAAAACAAGGTTTCCTTGAGCAAGTTCTTGGAAAGGCAGGATTTAGGAGAAAATCACTTGCTGCTGTTGTCTCTTCCAATGCTGAGTCACATAGGTTAGCTTGAAATTAGACATGGTAGAAACGTTCACAACATAAAAACTGTCAAAGCCTACAAATTGGGGCTTCTATCTCCCCAGAGTGTTTGTCATTTGACATTTACCAACATTTACCATTGCACAAAGATAGAAAGTCTTGGGTATCATAGAGATAGAAGGCACAAGTCCAAAAGGAGGCAACTCAGGATGCAAAGTTTCATGTGGAAATGGTGTTCGGGGTTAGTATTTCCTACAGAGTTCAAGAATGACAAGGGTCCAGCAGATACTTTCACAGTAACATATGGTACTCTGTGCAGTGTCACTCGGTGAGGAAGAGGAACACACGTCTCCAAGGCCACACTAGAAACTGCAGTGCTATTCAATCAGGCCAGAGACCTATGTCATTCAAGTCAGAGGAAGCAATCAGTGGCAGTGGAGATTTAAAAAAAAAAAAAGTCATGTAATCCATTTTAATGTGTAGACATTATTTTAATTAAACAAACTTAAAAATATGACATATGACAGAAATTGTTGTTGTTATGTAAAAGTCTGGTAGATGAAGCAATTCACACAATTACTCTTTTTCGCTTAGGAGAGGGCTACAATTCTACTGTACCCCTTATTCTGATAGTCTGAAAGATGCCTGGTAAGGTTGCTGAAAAATTCTATGTGTTCTACCAACTGTTACATCTTTCTGACTTCTCTAAAAAGAACTGGGAAAGTGAACATTCAAGAATAGGGTACAAACATAAGAAGGCTTTCTCAGATCAAGGCGTTCCTGTCTCAAGCACCCCTACCTCCTCTGCTTCATGGTTCCAAACAATACACAGACTTGTTTTTGGACCAAGAAGAAAGGAGACATATATGGTCACTGCACTGAATTAGTCTTTCGAAAGAAATTAGAAAGCTAACAGTAAAACACAGGGACTTCTCATGACCTAGTGATAAGCTTTGTTACCATCCCAAAGGCACACAGTCCTAAATCCACCAGCTGCTCCATGGGAGAAGGATGGACAATCTCCTCCCATGCAATTTTCTACCTCTGAAAACCCACTAGAGAGTCAACTACTAGCTCCGACTAGAATGGCATACACCATGGCTAACTGAACACCTTGAATGTGGCATCAGAACCAGAGAAAAGCTCACGTAGTATGCAAATGACACAACTTTACTTGTAAGGAGGACTGAGGCCACTTATTGCAGAAGGTCAAAGACTACAGCTTTCAATATGGGTTACATCTCAACATCAAAAAAACAAAAATCCTCCCACCAGGCCAAAAGGCAGCATCATGAAAGATGGAGAAAAGATTCAAGTTGTCAATGACTTTATCTTTCTAGGATTCACAATCAATACCTTTGGCAATAGCTTTGTTGTTAGGTGCTGTTGAGTCCAGTACAAGTCATAGTGACCCTATGAACAAAAGATCAAAATTAAAAAAAAAAATAAAATAACACATGCCATCTTGGGCAAGTTGGTAGTTTAGGGACCTCTCCAAGTTACTGAAGAGTAGCAATGTCAGTTTGAGGACTAAGTTGTGTCTGATTCAGGTCATGGTCTTTTCCTTTGTTTCCTATACTTCTGAAAGCTGGACATTGATCAAGTATTACAGAAGAATCAATGCCTTTGAGTTGTGGTGTTGAAGAAGCATACTAAACAGCCCATGGACTGTCAAAATTAAAAATATGTCTTGGAGATGGTACAGCCAGAATGCTCCTTAGAGGGAAAGATGATGAAACTCCATCTCACATATTTTGGGCTTATTGCTAGGAGAGGTCAGTCCCTGGAGAAGAACATTATGCTTGGAAGGATGGAGGGTAAGCAAAAGAGAGAAAGACCATCAATGAGATGAATTGAAACAGTGACTGCAGCAATGGGCTCAAGTGTAGTAATGATGGTGCAGGATAGGATAGGGTTCAGATCTTCTGTTCATGACGTTGCTACAAGACATGGCCAACTTCATGGCACATAACAACAACTGAATATACTTCTACTTCCTCTACCAAACACCCTAAAAGTTACTCACTCACTCCTTGCTGTCAAGTCAGAACTGACTCATAGCTGACCTTCCAAAAGGTTTTCAGAGGCTGTAAATGGCATAGTAGGAGATTGCCCATCTTTCTTCCAAAGAGCCATTGGTGGGTTTGAACCACCTGAGATGTGTTTGTGTGCTTTGGGTTAGCAGCACAACTCTCTATGGACTATGCCACCAGAGCTCCCTCCAAAATTACAGGAGAGTCTAAAAGGTATAATATTCACATGGCAGAGAAAACCACAATATTTATAATACAACAGATGACAGATGACAACATTTCAGAAAGCTGATTGTCCCAAGGCACCTACAGGAAACAAGGTGGGCACAGGTATGGAAAAGTATTGCTGTTTTAAAGCATCTTACTGCTACTTTAAAACAACATCTCATTGCTGTTGAATCGGAACTGGCTCATTGCTGACCCTCGAGCTGGGTTTCAGAGGCTTTCACTCAAACAAGAGGAGAATGCCCATCATTCTCCCACAGAGTAGCTAGTGGATTTCAACCAGCCACCTGTAGGTTA